TTTTTTTTTTATTTTAAATATTTAAAATTTGAAAAATTTTTTTTTTTAAAAAAAAAAAAAAAAAATATATATATATATATATATATATATATATATATATATATAAGGTTATTTCTTTCCGTCCACATGATATACATATATATATACATATATATGTATTATATATATACATATATATATAATCTTACACTTTCTGTCGCTGTTTAGTCAAAACAAAAAAATGTTAAATCAGGCTCTCGAACCATTTAGAACAACTTTTCCAACTTTTTAGCCATATTGTCGTCTTCTTTATGTCTGACATCATTGTTTGGTGTAATAAGCTTTTATTTTAGTAATTTGTCGTTCTTTCTGCGCTCTTGGAATTCAGTCACTATCAATTCCCGTCTTTGCAACATTTTGCCCTTTTTATTTCTAGGGCACAACCAGTCCATAAAGGCACCTCATCCATTTTGTTAAAAAAATTGTGATGGTCATCAGGCCTATTTGTCATTTCACACCATGTGCATATAGAGCCTCTTCAGTTACCATAGGCAACGTCTGTCATGGGACGATTTTTACCTACCATGCATCAATTCACCGCTGCCTTGGGGACACTTTGTGCTAGATTTAAAAACCCTTAATATCAAATCATTTCCTGCAGTACACAGTAAGAACATTGTCTTATGTGTCTCAGATAAATAACACCTACAGGAGATACTATATTATTATAATTATTTTGATTATAATCACAGTTAGTGGTAATAAGGTGCAAAATAAAGAAATGTTGGAGTGAAGGTAGAAATGTGTTGGTAGAAAATGGGTGTCCAAATAGGTGAAGGAGGGAAATGACCTGCTTGTTAGAGAATTTCCTGTGTATTCATGCTGATAATTGAGTGTTAATCTTTTATTTACGCCTCTCTCAGGATTGTTGGGGTGGCGTTTTTTAAGTCCACAGGCTTGGTGAAAGTTAACTGAAGTTAGAAAGAGACATTTTCTGGAGAATGTCCTTATATTTTAATATGTTTGTAGGTAGCAGTCGATACTTCCAACAGTTTAAAGAACCCACACAACAGAAAACAAAAAAAAAGTTCTGTCTTCAGCTGAGCTAAGCAGACAGAGCATGAACAGGATAAAAAAGGTTTCATAATTTCCGCTGCTCTTTAATCAGCTGAGATGTGTGTGAAAATTGTTTTTGTATTTCTCTGTATTCCTTAATAAAGCTTCATTTAAGAATAAGTTTTAATTTATAATAAATTACAGAGTTACCAGTTGTAAAAATATTCTTTATTTTTTAGATTGTTTGAAATGTGAAGGTGTCTAAAAAGTAAAAGCTTTTACATCTGTTAGGACACCTGGGACAACATTCACTCTCTGAGGAAAGAAATTAATGGCCTTTCTACATAATCACCTTTATCCCAGTCTGTTTATTGCCTCTTTTAGGGCAATGAAGCAGCAACAGTTATTTGTCACTCTAATGATTCTGAATCCCATCAATTTCAGTTTTTTTTTCTCTTCTTCAAATCAAAGTAATAATATAACAAGCAAACAAGCTTATTACTCAATCGAACACAGTTTATGTATGTAATGTCTCTTCTGACCCATACTTTTTCAGCTTCACAATGTCTGACACCTATAGCCTTGTTTGTTGAATCAACTAATTGCTGAGTTACTTTACCAATAAAGAGAGATTCTTCTAAAAGCCATGTTTAGGAGCAGTTATCATATTTGTACCTCATTCTTAAAGACTTTTGCTTCTCTCTTTTGTTTCTTGTTCTGCAGGCCTGCTCCGATTGGAGGAGCTTGTTCGCCACTTCCTTATCTCCAGGGAGACGCTGTCGGTGCGAATGCTGGATGAAAGTCTGGATCCCACCCCTTTGCTGAAGGAGATCCGTGACGACAAAGTGGCTACCATCATCATCGATGCTAATGCCTCCATCTCTTATCATATTCTCAGAAAGGTGAGGCTGTGCACTGCATGTCATGGACATCAGCAAAATATGTAAATATTTATTTTTAAGGTAATTCTGACGGCATCTGCGCAACATGATTTGAGTATATTGTGACAACTTATACAGAATTAAAAATATTTTTTCAAGCATGTACTAAAAAAGCACTTCTTTGTCAAACATAATTGACAATCAAAATATCTAAAGCACATAAGTTGTGGCTCATATCAAACCAGTCTCATGGCAACTCTATTAATAAACAAAGACGAGTTATTATTCTAGTGTTGTTAGAAAATTAGAAAACTTTTAGCTCACATTTAGACTTACCAGAAAGAGAACTAATTAAAGTTGCATTAAAGTAAAATTGATTATTTTCTTTCAGTAGCTATAAAATCTAAGTTGTGACTCTGTATTAGTTTTACAATGGACCAAATCAGCAGAGCTGGACTCACTCACATCTACAGACACAATATTTGAACTAGTTTGGTTGTTGATCTTGGTAATTCTTCCATCTAAACAACCAGAGGCAACCAGAAAAAAGCCATATTTAAAGAAGAGTTGGCAAGATGACTTGTGAAACACTATTACACCAGAATCCCACACACTAACCTTGACATCTGCACAGTTAGGAAATAATAATGCCCACCCTGTCACTGTTGGTAGCTTTATAATGGGAAACACTGTACTCAAAAAACTGTCGGCTCCAATGTGCTCAAATGTTCTCAGACTGCGTTCCTTACTTTATGACTCACTATAATATAATATATCATTTTTAGAATCTGACTAAAAGGCAGAAGACAACAACGAAGAAATCAAAATCTGATTTGCGTCATTTGGTTTGCTGCTGTGATTACAAACTGCTCTTCTGAGACCGTAAAAGGCCTATAGCATTATGTGAAACATCTCCTCTTCTTGTTCAATTTAAGTGTTTTATTGTTTACTGAGATGATTAAACTCTTAGGGTTTTTTTTTTTTCTCCTGCAAAACCAGTTGATGGAGTCCACAATCGATCTTGTTCTTTGTACCTGAAAAGTATCCAAAGCAGGAGAATTATTTCTTCTTCTAATCAAATAAATACAAATATGGAAGCCAAACCATTTAATGTGTAACATTTCCACAGATAATTCGCATGTAAATATTCATAAATTTAAATCAAATACATGAACAAATGTCTGCATCTCATACCTTCGTAAGCGGCCCTGAGAAATCTTTGCTCTCATGACTGGAGCGCTGAGGTGAAGGAGAGAAGAGGAACTGCAGAGAGGCAGGGAAACTTTAGAAATCAATTACCTCTTTTTTTGAATGTAAATGTTATTTTGTAATTCAAAATAAATACAAATTAATACAGCCTAATGCTGTCCTTCAGTCAATGCTTTTTGCCTCATGAATCATTTAAGGGGAAGCCTTTTTAATGGATATTTCATGAGGTCAGGACCTGGAGTTCTCTGTTAATTCAAATGATAAAAATAAAACATTTTCTCCATCTTTTTGATTAACAGCTGTTTGTGTTTGGGTCTAAAGAGAGGATGACATTAATGTTAAAGCAAAAATAGGTGTTCATTGCTCCCATCTGCTGGTCCTAGTGGATTTGTCTAGAAATAAGTAGTGAAATCCACGTTGTGAAATCTGTGCTGAAATCGTTCAATAACAGGCGTAAAACAGTAGCAAAATAAACAGAAGATGGGTCTGCATTGTCAGTCGTGTCCTCAGTCTATTGCCTGATTTAGGTTAAATCAAAGTGTCTTCTTGGTTTTATTTTACTCAACCAAAAATTTCACACTAAACTCGTTTAGCTTCCTTCTTTTCAACCTTTTCTTTGCTTCTAATGTGGCGTCCTTGCTGGTTGCTGTACATTTAAAAAATAAATAAATCTGGTAGAGACTTTAAATAATGGATAAATGAGACTTCCTGATGAAAAAACTGTTGTGGTTTTTTCTTTGTTTAGGATTGAGGTTTCCTTCTTCACCTTTCTCCTTTCATCTTTGTGCGTTGCAGGCTAACGAGCTGGGGATGATGTCAGCCTTCTACAAGTACATCCTCACCACCATGGTAAGAGCCTTTTGCCTTGTAGAGTTGTTGATCCGAAATCATTCAAGAGGAATTTCCAATTGGTTATTTATCTTCATCTAACATATCTACATCCTGCTACTCCTTACACACTCTGGCCATATATCAGTAGTATTTTTTTTCCCCTTATACCTGTTTCTTTTGCCTTGTAATTACCTTTTTTATTTTTTTTATTTTCCTGCTTGCCCAATTCTTGTAAACCTTTATCTCAGTGTTTTTCTCTGTATCGCTTTTCTTTTCCTTTTTAATCACTTTTTGTTGGAAAAACAATGGACAAAACTTGGAATTTGGAAATAGGAAAGATACAGATAATCCCTGACCTGAGTATACATCCATCAGTTTATCCCTGCAGGGTTATCGTAATTAATGGTTGCACTGACTTGTTTTTGACCGTGGAAGAGGAAAAAGTTTGATTGAGGTTGATGCAATGATTAGATCTAAGTTTCACTGTAACACACACATCGATTCACTTTCAGCCACTTTTGTTTATGTCAGTATTGCCAATTTCTCTGTGAGGAAAGAATTGGTCGTCCTGAAAGTTGCTAAATGACATCATTACCTAACGTTCATATTTGATGAGGTGAATGCAATATTGATGCATGCTGAAGGAATAACATTGTTGGACAGAAAGTGAGTAAAATAACATCTTGAAAATGAACCCAATTCTTGTTTTTTTTTAATGCCACCATTCAGATCCTCCTTTTTTAATCTGGCCTCAGGACAGAAAGAGACTTCACAGACGCAGAGTTGCACATGTGTATATGTTTCATTTAATATATTGATTCACCGTCTATCAACTCATAAACTCACCCAGTCAGCTATTTAATAATCAGCTTCAAATTTCCTTATGGTTCACATAGGAGGGTGCAATGTTTAAAAGGTAAACATTTTTAACCAAAGCAGTTTTTGTTTTGTTTTATCTATTTTACACACTGTACATTATGAATAGAGAAATCTGTGAACTCCTACCTCCTGGACCACTGCCACCCTGATTGCCCCGAAGTCTTTAGACATTCAATCTCTGTACTTCTGTTTTATCCTCTGTGAAGAACGTTTTCTTCCATCTGACCTGCTGGGTATGAAAAGTGCTCCATAAATATTTTTTTATTGATTTATCTAGTTTTATTTTCATTTTCTCGTCGCACCTTCACTTCTTCTGTCTTTTTCTACGTGTCTTCTAACCTTGAAAAAGTGTGCTCCGTTCTTGTATTTTTTTGCTTCTTCTGGATCACCGTACATTTTATTGGACTCCTTACTTTTACTATCATTTGCTTTGTACTTTCCCCCCTTGGCTTCAAACTTTCCTGTTAATTTATTTTACCAAATTTCTTTTCTGTCTCAATATCCCTACAGCATTTTTTTTTTTCCAGATACTACCGTTAGCAAAATATCTGGTGTTTTCCTGTGTAAGCAGCCTTTTCACACCTCCAGGATATTTTTTTATGTTACATCCTTAAGCGAAGCTTTCCTGTTCTCTCCCTCTCTCCATCTCTCCCTGCTCATCAGAGATGCATGCTGCTCCTTCCACTGTTTGTCATCATTATAATTCCCCTGTTTGGTGTCGTGCCCTTGTACAAAGAACCTGCATGGATAATAACGTTTCTCGATCTCTGCCTTGACTCTAAACACTGCATGACATGAGACTTTAACGGGGCCGTTCACACAGCACTAACAAACCAAGGGCAAATTTGTCATTCCCCCCCAATCTCAGCACTGCCTCCTCTTTCTTGCATTTTCATTCACCTGCAGCGGTGTCAGTGACCTACCTTTAACTTTGCACTGAACATGCTCTGCAGACTGTAAAAATGCTGGTGAAGAAAAGTGAGATTTCAATATTAACCCTAATGTTCTTGGAGCATACGCAACACAAAAGGGAGTCAATCATTAGGCATGATGATTCTGCTCCGATTTCTAGTCTGTGGGAATCATTATTGTTGCTTAATCTGTCTTTTTTATTGCCAACTACATACTGGTTCATTTTAAACTGCTTAAAGTTAACAAACTCATTACAGTTAATAATTTGGTTTGAGATTCATTTATTTTTATTTGTCTGTTTGCGGTTGCATGCAGTTTTTAGAACTGCAGAGTCTTTCTGTGTGAATCTTGTACGTTCCTCCCATGTAGGCCCAGGTCCTCTCTAGTTACTTCTGACTGTCCAAAACATATGTGTTAGATTAAATCACCATTTAACTCAGGGGTCCCCAAACTTTTTCCTGCGAGGGCCACATGACTGTTCCCTTTTTTGGTCGGGGGCCGGTCTATATTGGAGATTCGTAGGGAGAGTATGCAAATGGAAAAAATGAGAAGGAGGGCCGGATCTGGTATTGTTCAGGGGGCCGGACCAAATGAGGAGGCAAGCCGGATCCAGCCCGCGGGCCGTAGTTTGGGGACCCCTGATTTAAATTGTCCTTAGTGTTGATGTGTGCATGCGTGGGTGTGTGGTTTACCCTGTGGAGGACTAACAACCTGGGGTTTACTCAGTTTAAGGATTTAGACATAAAATGTACACCAGCTGTCGACAACAACTCCACTACTCCACACATAAAAAGCAAATTACTCCCCTCATGAAGGTATGCATAAACAAAAAAAAAGAAGTATCTATGAAAGCCACAGAAAGCAGAGAACCCAGGTAAAAACTGAGTCATTCCTGCAGCAATGTGTAAATCAATATTAGCTGGTTTGATAATAACTGATGGATCTCATTAACAAAACAATGAGACCTTCACAAAAGTCTTCCTATTGCAAACCACTAATAGTGATGGTTACAGTTTTTTTTTCTAAACTTAGGACTGGATTGGAGTCAACTGTCAGCGTCCTCATCGAGCCATAAGTTCATGTAATCTCTCACAGAGGAGAGGAAACAATAACCCAAGAAAAACTAATAACGCAAAGATTCGATCTTTAAAAGATTTAAGGCTGTAATTTGTTTTAAGACATTTGTCAAAATCACACCTAAATAATTCTTAGTACAGTGGATTTCTTGAAGTTCTCATTACCAAAAATAGCTTTCACACATAGTAATGAGTTTCTGTAAGTCTGTTCAATGTTTGACTCCCTGTAAACATAACTTTGTTTATGAACTAGTGTACTTTGCTTTCTTTGTATGTCTGGATGAGGTGGATTGTTGTCAATGGCAACACTGACAATATCTAAAGAAAACTGTTATATGTTCAATACTCACTTTACTGATAGTCTTTTAAGATAACATCAAAGTGTTACTCTAACCCTAACCCACCTGTTGATTCCTCAGTTAGTGTTTATGAGTTGAGAGGTCAGCAGGTATTTGGGTGAAATAATGTTTTAAGCATGTATGAGATTCAAACCATGACCAGCTGTTGGTAAAGGCCTCTACCATGCGGGGAATCAGTTGGTATTAGTTATTATTGCTGCAATGCAGTGTCTGAAAATGCTTCCAATACTTGAACATGTAATTGTAAAAGCAGCTCCACTAACCACTGGCATGGTTACAGATGAACTTCTCACACAGCAGCTAGTGACTCTTCATCTTAGAAAAAACTTACTGCATTAACATAAATGCATAGAGGAACTTAAAAGTGTGCATGTCAAAGTAAAATAATCAGAAAGTTATTACCTTTATTAATTTACCCATCACATTCCTAAGGACTTGTGAAGGTCATTGCCTCTTGAGCATTACTCTCTGCTTTTAAGAGCTCACATGTTTAAACAGTTGAACTCATTAGTTACCAGCATGGACTAGCCTAAAGACCAGCTTCTTTTTAAATGAACATCTAGCGTGAAGCATGCTGCAGTCAATGCATCACTGGTGTCCTTCTGGAATGCTGTCGCAGTGCTTTCTCCCTCAGCAGCGTTGGCCTGGTCCCTGCAACCCGGCCAGCCAACTGCTCTTTGTCAGAGCTGGCAGGGCGACAGTCTGACAGCCGGCCTGGCTGCTGCTGAAATTGATTTGGCATCCGGCAAGAGCATCGGCAACAATGACAGCAACAGTTTCTCAGCCGCAAGAAACAATGGAAATACAACAGATAAGAAAAAGACAGAGATGTTTTAGTGAATAAATGTAAAAAATATATATATATATTTGTACTGATCAGCAAAGAAAGCTTCAAAATATATTCATCTCCATAATAAATTAATTAATGAATTGAAGTGTTTTATATCTTTTATATTTTTTTCTAATTAGACATTTTATGTCAAAACAATCCAGAGTGGAGACACAGCCAGTGACAGTCTAGCTGTTAGCTCATGCTAACAACTGCTGACCAGATGTTTGCACATTTATCCAAATTTAGCCAAAAAAGAAGAGCTGTGAGTTTCATACGGGTGATTTGTACACCCAAAAATCAAATGCCTGAACAGCGGCGACATAGTTCAAATCGTATATTCACATAAATGAGATATGAATCAAGCCAGATTGTAAAATAATCATTTTCAAAAGTTAAAGTTGCACAGATCTCTCAGTATTCATCAGTATAGTTGCTTATCTAGAGTTAAACTGTTACGGACGGCTTGATCTGAGATCTTAAGCATCTGTATGCAGATTTATATTTGCTTTATAAAAAAATGTAAAAGTATGATTAAAGTCTTCATATAAACAAACATTTGGGAAAAGTACCCCACCCTTATAGAATCACAGTTAATTTTAGATCATCCATTTGTGTACGTCTATTTGTATAATTCTTTTGAAAGAAGTATAAAAGCATGGCAGACTTATCAATAAATGTGCGAACTAACAGCAAGATGCAGCATCACCCGCTGAGTTAAAGTGATCCGAATCAGCGGCGTACCATCTAATGGCAGGCACACGTTGCCGTAGAATCAGCATATGCCACCAAACCAGAAGTGACATATGCTGACATGCCATCTGCTGCTTTTAGATTTGGCACGATTTGAGACTTAGCAATGCCAAAGTAATTTAATTAGAGTAGTTCAGAAATTCCTATGTTGTAATTATGTTAGAGAATCGCTGTTGATTGTTGTTTTCTGGGCAAGAAATGAAATGAATAAGTTGAAAGTGTTATTTTTTTCCCCTTATTTGGTCTAACTTAAAAAAAAAAATGAAACAGCAGGGTTAGTTTATTTCAGTGTAATACAATTGTGTTGACAGCTGGTGTCACCTGATGTTGCCATCAGGTGACAAATCAGCAGGAGAAGTGTTTGGTTCGCTCACCCACATTCTCTGCTCCCTACAACTCTGGCTAAATATTTCAGTGTCAGCATGTGTTGCGTAACACAAACCCTTTGAGGGCAAAACAAACATTTTGATTCTGGTTTGTTTCAGCAGCAGAGCTCAGCGTGACATCAACTTGTCTTCAAGGACTATTTGAATTTCTTTGAAATTTCCCAGCTTTTGATGTCCATCTCTATTTTACTTTTACATTATGAGCCAACTCTGAGTTTTAAAGTCGACTAGCCTGAAGAAAATCCAATCCTGGTCTTTCATTGATTTCCATATTTTTTTTTATTTTCTCATGTCTTGATCTGAAAATGATTTTAAGTTTAATATGTTCTGCTATCTGGAATGCTCAATGCCAATTTTAAATAAATCGCTGACAAAAAGTTTTACTTTCTTCCTTTCTTTGTCATCTGGCCTTAAGGATTTCCCTCTGCTCCAGCTAGATGATGTGGTGGGTGACCAGTCCAACATCGTTGGTTTCTCCATGTTGAACATCTCCCATCCTTTCTACCTGGATTTCATCAGGAGCCTGAACTTGTCGTGGAAAGAAGGGTGCAACATCAACCCGTACCCAGGACCTGCGGTGAGAGAAATTCACAGAAAACGTCTTCACCCTCCAGCTGTATGCAGACCAAAGATGAACATGGTAGCACTTAATCTGAGCAAAGACTGATCAAGCTGGAGCAATTGAAATAGTCCCAAATGGTCTTTACTTCAATGCAAGTACAATTATATATTGGAGAATTTCACTTTGCAGTTATTCAACATAGATAAATTCTAAAAATAAGCTTTTTATTTATTTTTCTTATTGCAGCAACCTGATTCTGATCTGAGCTCTCACAACAAACCATGTTTGTGCTCTATTTCCCTTTTTTCTGAAACATTAACAACCTTACAGGAACAACAATATAAAGTAGAAAGTTATAAGGCTTTAAATTAAACTACGCCTCATCTATATAGAAACTCTGTCATCATTATAACTGTGCTGTACTTCTGGATGTTTTATTCGTATGTTTGTGCACGTCAGTCTTTTTGTTTATGTTGACTGTTAAAAAATATGGAAATAATGAGACAAAGCACATACTGTAGTAAGACCATCTTCTAAAAAAGTCAAAATAATTAAGAGGAACGTTTGTCTCATATACCGATTTGTGTGGCATAGTTGTGTCTTCTGTTTCATCGTCCAGTCTGTCTTGTCCTACGAATCTCACACACAATGCTTATGTTAAAATAAGCAACACACTGAAGTCTGCCTGGATGCTAATTAGGAATGTTTATACCATGTTGACAAGCAGAAAGGGCATGTTCGAAAAGTTTGAGACTGATATATGAGGAGGAAGCTCACTGCAAAGTGGCACATGTGAGCCTGTAGAAACAGCTGTGGTTCCAGACAAAAACCCGTGAGAGCTGCCAATTATTTTTTCTCACGTTCTCTTTTTCCCTTATCTATCTGTCTCTCATTTCAAACCATTCTTAGCTGATGTCATTAAGCTCTGAATCTATTACCTTGCCAAAACCCCCTATCTGCAAGCATCTGTCTTTTTTATCAAGCTTTCACAGATTGTACAGCTCTGCCTCTCTGCAATTTATCTGATTCTCTAAGAGTGTCAGTCTGAAAGACAACTGACCAAACAGACTCCGATAGAATCATTCAGCCCCATGAGTTGAATGCAACTGATAGCAGGTGTGCTTAACTTTTTTCTTATTTTCTGCACAAATTCAGCCAAAGCTTCACAACCGTGACATTGCCACTAATCATTTATATACAATTCAACAAATGAGAAACAGATCTAAACACTACAGCCAGCAGTTTCTTCCTGTTTTAAACTGAAGTAGTTATTCGTGCTCTAAAATGACTGAGTAAACAGCTTTACAATTATAATCAATCAACATGTATGTTATTGCTATACCTTAAACCAAATGCAAGAAAGACAACAAAGTTGCATCCATTTTTGTCCAACCTCATTACCATCCTTTTTACCTTCTTTTCTCCCTCACTCGTCTGCTTTCCTTTTGTGTTTGAAGTTTTTCTCGTCTCTGTGCTAAAGCGTCTTTGCTATTTCGACTGTGATTTTTGTAGCTGCCAATAAATAGATTTTCTTTGTTTTGTTTTGAAGCCCACCTCGAACAACGTCTGAGCTATTTTCTGAATGCTCCTCTCTTTGTTGCCACTTCTTTATGTTGTTCTATGGTAAAACGCTTGTTGACTTCAGTATTGCTTTCTGACTGACAGTCTGATTTTTTCTCACACACTTCAAACGTCTAGAGCCTGCCCGTCTTTGCTGTTTGCTGTAAAAGAAGAGAAACTAAATATTGATCAAGTCGATATTTTTCTTCCTCAACAATATCCCGACTAGTTGCTTGCATCACCCAGAAGTAATTTCAATCTGTTCAGACTGCCTCAGAACCTCAAAGGTTTTGGGAGCCGGATCTATGAACTTTGATCTTCAGCTCTTTATATTAATCATATATTAATAACTTATATACTATAAGTTATTATATAGTATATTCCGAATACTGACAGATTCCAACTGGGGTTTTTCTCCAAGCCTCTTTTTCCTTTTTTGCCTGTCATTCCACTTCATTTTTTATTGCCTAATTTATGGACTGTTTTTTTCTGTCTCTCCATCTTATCTGACCCTCAAAAGGGTTCAACATACTTTTGCTTTTTCCATGAATGCAGCCTGCCTGCACACATCTGTATTTTTCCAATGATGCCTAAGTTAAAAATACAAAATGTAGCATTCCATTAAGAAAAATGCATGTCTTGCTACAGCCTCAGTGGAGGGAGGTTGATGAGCTACTTTGTCATCTGCATGACAAAAATGCACACAGACAGTGTGGTGACTTTGCCCTGTAAGTGTGCACAATCAGTACAGCCACAAAACATGTGGGCTTCCTGCGCAGACCCCACTGAACCAGGATAGATGACGGATTGTACATCACACAGCTTATCCGGTTGAGTGGATGATTAGGCAGAATGTAATCAGGTATGAATGCACCATAAAGTGACTTTAAAGTAATTGCTTTCTGCATCGTGATATGCTTTTTTTTTTTTTACCCAGTGAAGAATTTTCAGTCTCAAGTTTTTCTTCATGCAAGTGATGTGGCATCATTTACCATCTTTTGGGAGGAAAATAAAATATTGTGTCACAATGTGATAGTACCACTGAACTTCTATTGAGTGTGGCTGGGATTATTTTCACACTTGAAAGTCTTTCTCTCCATTACTACTTTCATGAAAGCGTAGGGAAAGCTACATTTACTTGTATTTATTTGGAGCACTTACTTAATGCACACAGTGCAGTAAAGTAGCTTATTGGAAACTGGTTTGTTTATTTATCTCCAAATATAGTTAAAAGATTTATAGCTAAATAAAACAGCAAGGAATTTTGCAATATATATTTTTCTCAATGCTTTTATCATCATCACAATAAATACAACGGAGCACTGGGCGAAAGTCTGGTCCACTTCCCTCCTTCTTATTTTGAAGACTTTAAAACCTTAACTGGAAGTTTTTGGTTGCGCAGTTAAACAAAATGTTGTTGATGTTAAGCAATTTTATTGTCTTTTGAAGGATTCTATGAAACTGTGTGTATGTATATTGTGTGCTGCAGCAACTTTACAACATTCTGCATGAACTTCTTACTGATAACTTGTATGTATTTGTATCTATTTGTCTCATCAAAGCTCTGCTGACAGTATAACTGGGATATTCTACATTCTTTTTGCCTTCAAATGTATTCATGCACAGTCAACAGAGATGCAACAATCATTTGTTTTAATTTATATCAGCCAATGTGCTTTTCATACACTTTTCAACAAATTAACAAACCCTTAGAATTAAATTTAACCATTTGTACAATTCATTATGGTTTTGTAACCTTGAATACTTCCTGCAGAATTCAGTTATTAAAATGATGGTTGTGTTGTGACTGCAACCTCATAGCACCTTCTTGAGCAAAATAGATGGAAGGGAAAATGCTTACTTATTCATTTATTTCATGCCTAGCTGTCATCCGCCCTGATGTTTGATGCTGTTCACGTGGTGGTGAGCGCGGTGCGGGAGCTGAACCGCAGTCAGGAGATTGGCGTGAAGCCACTGAGCTGCACCTCCCCCCTCATCTGGCAACATGGGACCAGCCTCATGAACTACCTACGCATGGTAAACACACACACACACACATTCACTTCACATACCCACAGTTCATTTGCACGAACCGAGGAAACGGAGAACTTCAGCAACCACGTGCATCTGTCAGAAAAAAACAAACTAAAATAAAATACTGTAAACAAAAACTGTAAAATAAATCTGGAAATGTAAATAAAGCTGAACGCAGAACAATAAGAATCATTTCTAGGGATTTTTTTTTTATTTAAATTATTTTATGAATAGATGCAATGCCTTACAAAAGGATTCACATGCCTTGAAGTTTTCACATTTTGACCAATGAGAGCTGGTTAGTTGGTTGAACAGTTTCCATCGGACTTATATTTAAATGAGAATGAGATAATTTATCAGCAGTGATGTAGCATTGCTTTCTAATGTAATGTGGACATTTCATATAGTTGCTGGAATGCAAAAAACTCATTTCTGTTGCCATAATGTCTTAAATTATATTTTAGCATGGTAGATTATTATTATTTAGAGCTAATAAAAAAAGACTGAAGGAGCAAAGTGCTGACTTTGTAGAGACGCTTCATTCTTTTGGGACCTGGTTTTGCACATTGAAATTACATGTTGAGAATCCCGCTGTGCAAAACCAGACTATGGTGTTAGTTGTAGTTATTATCAATAAAACACTTTGAAACTGTATTTAAATCAGTCTACATGATTCACATATTTTATCCTACTCATAACTTTACATTAGACTTTGATTAGCTACCCATTAGCTGTCATTTTCCCTTCATTTGGAGGCGTAATCTTAAAGGTGTCTGATAGATGCAACATTATCTGATTATTTTACATGTGCTTGTATTAGTTTATTTCACGCTTTGTGAATTTTCTGTGTGCTTTGATGTCTGTTACTCATTTTTTGCATTTTCCACTGTCTTTGTAGTCGTCTTCTTTTCTAACAGGAACTATTAGGTTGCATTTCAGTTTGACTTTTTCTTCAGGAGGCTCATAAATTATGTCTATAAATCTTAGTATTGTAAAATAGTTTGCATTGTTTTCAACATGACTAAGACGAAAATAAATGTTTAGATTCAACATATATAAAGAACTTTTTAGATTGCCCTACTGTTAAATTTGTATCTTTGCTTTTTGATATTCATTTGATTTACTCTCATTTTCCTGTTTCCTTGTTTGTATCTGTCTGCCAGTTCTTGTTTTTTCCATCCACTGATGATGCTTCTCCCTCCATATTGTTTTTGTAGCTCACAGTACATCACTTCATCATCTCTGCCCTGCGTTTGGCAGCAACCGGGGACCTCTCTCCCTCTCTCTGTCTTTCTCGCTCCACTTTTTTTGGGATGTAATTCATCTTGAGTCATGCACACACACACCCATTCATATTGAATGTGTACTCCATAACACATAACTCACATAAACTCAGGAACAAAATGCATGCTTGGCTGCACGTGTATCACACAAGTCTCACACTTATTTGCACATTACTGCAAGCACGTATTCCAGCAGCTCTGTCACTGATCTGATGTACCGTCAGTTTTCTCAGTTTCCGTTTCCAATATGCATTTGTTTTGGAGTTTGTGATCACGATTCTGTGTTTTTTTTTTTTCATTCAATAACATACGAATCAACACGTTTTGTGTCAGATGAAACTGACACAAATTCAAATCAATTGATGCGGTTTCATGAATTATTTGTTGTTTTTGCACATTTCAGTTCGTATTATGGCGTTAGATCATGACAACTGCTGAAATACTGTGGTGCTGGAGCAACTGGTTCAGTTCAATTCACAGTCTAATTCAATCTGTTTATTTAGACATAAATATTTGAAAGGTCCATTAAAAATCAATATGAAAACCATACTAAGAAACAAGGACAAAGAGTAGGAAGGTCACTCTGATTTTTTTTTTCTTTATCCTTCATAATAAACTCACAGATGGTGTGAAATAAAGTGTGTTGCAACTTTCACCATTTCAGACCTAACTGTTGCATTTTAAGTTAATAAATAAATAAATACATGAAAAATCTCTCAACATGAAGTATTTAAAGAGATAGTAACATTTTTGTGAACTGGAGCTTGTTGGGTTAATGTAAAATTGCTTGACCTTTTATTCCTGGATCTTTTTTGTGGAGAATGTATTTGTTGTTTTGGTTTATCTCGGCCCGACTCGTAGGTCACATTTGAAAAAAATGACAGCTGTCGATCTGTTTTAAACAGATTCAAACATTTGCAAACCAGTCATAACCAGCAATATACAGCATTCACTTTTTTCTTTGATTAATATCAATCTGTGTATCAACTGATTTTATAAGCAGAAACTCACAAATTAGGCTGTTGAACAGTCATTTATCTTTGTTTTTGTGTGATCTCTCATTTTATCAGGTAGAATATGACGGCCTGACAGGCCACATTGAGTTCAACAGTAAAGGACAGAGGACCAACTACACCCTGAAGATCCTGGAGAAACACCCTGCAGGCCATAAAGAGGTAAGAGAACAAGAACAAGGTGGAGATCTTAGCCATTGGATACATAAATCTGATATTATCTTTACTCAGTTTTAAAGAGTAATAAATAATACATCTCCCTACTGAAACTAACTTTGAAATGTAAACATTTCTAAGATCATCAGTTATACAAGAATCCCAGAATAGATGTCCAAAGACCTAAAGGGTTTATTAAGCAGCTCTTTCATGCATTCATTCATTCATCTTCAGGTTTCTGTCCATGCCTGGTAAAGACTGTTTGTTCTTTTTACTGATTTTGTTTTGACCTTCCAACATTTTTCCTAACACCCTTTACTGGAAATATTATATTAAAACAATCTGAAAGCTAAGTGGCTGATTGCTGTGAATTTCTGTTAAATGTCTCTTTGAAATAATGAGCTCCTTACTTTTCTTTTCTTTCTTTTTTTTTTTTTTTTTGCAATCTTAATTTTTACAATGTATTGAGCTGACCTGATTAACCCTGAGTGGAAATTATACTCAGCATCTTTAGACTAATCAGATGCAATCAACTATGATCAAATCTACTTGACCACTGGACAGTAAATTAAGTAATAAAATGAAGGCTTTTGAGTTGGGGTCAACTTCTTATTGCCCTTCAAAAGGCAACTCAAAAACAACGATTCCTCTTTATACCTAACAAATTGTGCAACGCAGAAGCTTCCAGCCCAAATTATTGAGAGTTTACCCAAGGCAAGCCTGATTTATTAAAAAGGTTGTCAGATTATGTTGTTCTAATGAATCATACTTATTATAGCATAGCATAATTTTATGTTCTTAATGGACATTTATATAGAGAGTAGTTGTGATTTAATGAAATAGCATTCCTTTTACTGTGTTTTGCAGACACACCATATTCCTCATATTTTTATCATTTCACATACGATCTTGCAATTGTATTTATTTTTATTAACCTGTCACTTTTAATCTTTCTGATATTCTTTTTATTAGATTTTAGTTTAATGGGGTCTGTTTTTAATCTCGTAAAGAAGCTGTTCCTAAGTGCCGTCCTGCAACTTTTAGGTGCATCTCTACTTCAACAATCCTGAATCTAATGAATGGCTTGTTGCCACCCCTCTGTAGAGCTAAATGACACGCTGGACAGGGAATTCAGCCATTTGATTTTGGTGTATTAGAGCTGATGTGCTTCAAAAAGTTTCAGAATAGTAGCTCTCAAGCACCAGGACTTGGAAACCAATGTTGTAAAGCATGGGCATACAACATGAAAGTTGGACCGCTCTGACGGTGCTACTATACACCCCCAGCCTGTAACGTGAAGAACCGTTTATAGCTACGAATCTTCTAAAAGATTTTTAGAAATTTTCCAAAGCAAATTTTATATTCTTACAGGAATTGTCTATTTCAATCATTTAAACTCTTACTTTTGTCCTCATGCAACTAGAACTTGGAAAGCAGATTAACAGTAAAAATGCAATAACCCAAGGACAGAAGAGCTGTACAGGAGTCTGTAAGGGATATTGGATCGTTGAAATAAAGTGAGGTTTCCAATTCAAAAACAGTTAGCATTTATGCATTTCCATTTTTGTGAATTTTGTTTATATATAGTTAAGATTGTGCTTAATTCCTCTTTCTTCCCCACAGATTGGGACTTGGTATTCCAACAACACATTGGCAATGAACTCAACTTCCTTGGACCTCAATGCCTCAGAAACACTAGCTAACAAGTCCTTAATTGTCACCACTATACTGGTAATGTGTTATTAAACATACATAATGTGCACCAGCTTGTGTTTCTTTTCCTTTTAATATGTTTCAGCCAACAGCCCAATGTTTTTGTTCTTGGTCTGACAGGAAAACCCATATGTAATGCGCAAGTCCAATTATCAGGACTTCCAAGGAAATGATCAGTACGAAGGTTTCTGTGTGGACATGCTGAGGGAGCTGGCAGACATCCTGAAGTTCTCCTTCAAGATTAAGCTGGTGGATGATGGGCTATATGGAGCACCTGAGCCTAACGGCAGCTGGACCGGCATGGTGGGGGAGTTGATCAACAGGGTGAGTATGAAATGGTAGAGAATAAATAGACTGACTAAAAATACCACTTTTGATTTTGCAAGGAATTTCCCTCATTTGCGGCCTTCGGCCTCTTTGAAAGTGGTGCATATTTTTATTTTTGACTAACATTTTGTTCACGGAACAGAATTTGACATGATAGAAGTCTAAACTCTGAGCTGAAAAGCATTTCTGAAAGGGAAAATGAGCAACCGGTGGAAAAAAGCTCTATAATTTTTAAATGAAACTCCAATAAATTCACAACAAAATCGATCTCTTAGTTCCTACAACTGAGTCCTTTGCAAGTTGCCTCCAGCTCTTCCAGTTCAATATCAGTTATTTGACCTGCCAATGTCATCCGTGTTGCTGCTACACTCACAGGCTGATTCTTTTTGGATTCATGCCGCTGCTCACTCTGTCCTCAGCCACCTTCTCTTTAATGCAGACTCTGTCATTCTTTTGGATGGATCCCCTATCGGCTCTTCATTCTCTTTGGCACTCCCATCCCATCTGTGTTTGCTACATTCTCCTGGACAGCTGCTTTTTTCACTTCCTTTATTAAATCCTCCTATGCTTCACTCCTCTTCTTCCGGTACAAACTGTCACCTGGGATTTCAGTTGGCGGATACTTTAGGGTCACCTCGAATGATAATGAATGAAAATAACGCCAAGATAACATACACTTTCCAAAAGCAAGCGCAAAGTGTAGCCATGGTTTTAAGCTGGTTACATGTGCCTCAGTTTATTGCAAGAAAAGCCCATATCTGCAACATGTTGGGTTTGAAGTTGGCAAAAGATGAAGTGAAAAATCTCCACTGCTTTACAGCACCGTCAAGTTCAAGTGTGACCAAACCGAAAACATTTTACATTCAAAAGCAACAAATTGAATCAGGCGAAGCCACCGCGTACACAAAAACACGAGCATCCCCAATTGATTTCTCTAACATTGCCTCTGCATTAGTTGTTATGGCAACAGGCAGGGGTGAGGGTGCAAGACGTGGGCTTTGAGTTACTGACAGTGATGGCACTCTTAACTGCAACACAAGCGTCAGCCAATTATACAAGCGGTGGAGTGTTGGAAAGCCTCTCAGCTCTGATCAGCAGTCACAGGGAAGCTCAGGACATATTAAGTGGCTCAGCTGAAGCTCAATTTCCCAAGTTAGTTGTTTTCTCAGTGAAAGTGGTTCACTTTAAGTCAAGTCTAATTAACACTGATTAGAGAATTGTCTGCAATGAAAACTGCAAGCGGAGGTAAAGATGATAAGGGGAAGAGACAGCGAGAGCGTTTTGTATTTCTGTGTGTTTAGGAAAACGCTGCTAAGTTGTTAGAAATTTATTTTAGTAATGGAAAATTAGGAATTACTTTGTTGAAGTGCAAAAATTTAATTGCTTTTTGGGCAACATAAGGTTTTGTAAAACAAATATATGAAAAGCTCTGGACTTTTCTGATTTTCTTTCACTTGCAGATACTAGTTGTAGCCTGTTAAAATTGTATTTTAAGAATTATCAGGATGTACATATTTTCTTTTCAATCCTTCCTGATGTGAATGGTCACTTATTATTTATCTTAGATGTGAGTCACACCACTTTGAGAGCACAGTCAGCAGAAAATTAGTGCTAATTGTTTGAAATAAAGTTACACAGTTGTCATTTTACATAGTTTTAGTGTCTCATGTTATTTATTAGCACAATTAAAGTTAGCGACTGCAAACAGCAGTCTGAGAATTTAGACTGTTTCCTAACTGAGATTTAACTGCTAACATTTCTAAATATTTCACCAGAAGACAGAAGGTCAAAGCTCAAATGAATAAAACAGAACAACTGTGCTGCAAAATGCCGAATTGACAAAATGTCCTTAAGGTGGGTACAAACTGATATCTTCTGGCAGAACCCTAAAAAGTTGAGCAACAAAATATGCAAAAGTTCAAAAAGGTAAAGGAACAAATAAACCAGAACCTATTAGTCCACTCATCTGTTAGCAGCTGAAATGAACAGCTAACAGTCCTGCAGTTTTCTTTCTATATAAACATATATATGTTTATATATATATATAAACAACTAAAGTCTGTGTTTCTCCTGTTACTTAATAGTAAACCCTCTCACTGATATTTAAAATGTAACTAACCCCAAAATCAACTCTTGTTGTGCTAATAAACTGGTTTATCAGCAACAAAAGGTTTTCAGGTGTTCTATCTTTATGTTTCTGCAAATTATTATTTTTTTGTGTAAATTTATATAAAACCATCACACTCATTAACATTGTGTTTAGCATTACTCAGCTTTACAAATATGTGATTTTTTTTTTTGTAATGTGAACACGGAGGGGTTCCCCTCTGCTCTGACTATGGGCGACGGCGTACGGCAGAACAGGAAGTGAGATGGGTCACGCTACCACTCACTGCCTGCTCAGGACAGAGAAGGTCCCACACTCTCAAATTAAACCTCCTCTACAAAATACTTGATGCTTAATATCTCAGTGACCCTTTGAGTTTTCTAAACGGGCCAAGAATGCATCTGGGGTTGAATCTGTCACTGTTACACTGCAGTAGATGGTAAAATGCATTCTCTTGTTCTATGCTGCTTGCTTCACCCAATTGCTAACGTTTACCTGTGCCGTATGTAATGAGCCAGTTCGACGCTAAGAAGCTTGTCAGAAATGGACTGCGCTGTAACAACTGTCCTCAACTGTGAAGAGACAAGTGCCGAACTAGATGGCTGTTAATGTTATTTCAGATGTTGTAAAAGTGGCCAATATGGACTGAATGGCTTTTTTCACTTCTTCTGCTGCCATTGCTAACACTTCCAGCAGACTACAATTTTAAGACAGCACAGAAAATTCAAATCATTATTCACAACTTGTCCTTGTGTTCGCTGATTGGCCCAGTAGAAAATCTACCAGAGACAATCCAAGTCATGGGGAGAAAGCCCAAACTTTGCTATAAGCAAGAATCCTTTTCAAGCAGAATTGCACAGGAAGGCAGTGGCCAGACTGTCGCCTCAGAGCTGCCAGAGGAATTAGTCATAGTCTCTAAGTCCCTGTGATGGAGTTACCCAGCTTGGTGGTTCAAGCATGTGATGTAGCGATAACACAAAAACACACCAGGGCCTTCATAGTGTTGTTTTATTCACAGAACTGGCTACACTGAGGTATGCTGAGAGAGTAAAGATCATTGAACCTAAGCTAAGTGTATCAGTAACAGTTATTACAAAACTGAAAAGTTGTTGCGCAGATCCGATATGTTTTACCCGATCCATATGTTTGCATGTCTGAAGACCGTTCTATACCAACCCTCTTCCTCTCCAAACCTCCTCTGGCTCTTGATTTTGCAATAAACTCATGTGATTGATGATTTATGACCAGCCGCAACCAGCTTAAAGAAGGGCTTGTTATGTGTTTATGATAGAGATGTTTCATGAAACAGGAAACTTGACTTCCTCTTATGTTATATCTTAAATAAGACAGAAAAAGAAGGTGGCCCAGCCTGGTAGTGCTCTTTGAAAGGGGTTTGATGAGGAAGCCATAATACATCCCCAAACCTTGTAACCCAGCCTAAAACACTGTGGCACTTTTAACTCTAACCCTACAAAGATGCTTTAACCTTTGTTTAATTAGTGGGGTCTAGTAAAAAGCCTCAAAAATAGTCTCTGGGTTAGCGGCTCCAAAAATTGTTCTCTTGTGTTTGGAAGCAGGGCCACACACAAACACATAACGGTCATGGTAATGGCGATTGTGGCTGATGGGTGCGTGTGTGTGCGTGAGCGTGTGTGTGCGTGTGTGTGTGTCAGAAAGAGAAACTGGGGAACACAGGCGAGCCATTAAGAGGCTAATCAACTGCCTTTTTTCCTTACTAATTATACAGAGCTGTTTCAATTACACTGTGGGATCCCTCAGTTTGAACCCACACACACACGCAGACACACACACAAGTAGGTATCCCTTTATTTGAAATTTGTGGCTACAAAACTATGCATTTGAAAGAGCACTCTCCCTCTTTTCTTCTCTCTCTCTCTGTCTCTTGCTGCTCAAACATGACAACTGTCCAACCTAAACACAGAAACACACTCCTAAAAACTTTGTTGTTTGTAAGACCGAGGAGTCTGATGAAAGTGGGAGAAATTCATTTAAGAAGTGTGTGCTTGTTAATCAATTAGGTGTTAATTAAAGAGCAGAGAGGTGTCTGGGGTCCAGATAAACACTCCACTATGGCTCCACTCTGGGTCTCAGTTGACTTGAACCTTAATGAGATTATCTTTCACTTTTAATTTCACCTTTCTGTCTTCATCCATCAAGGTTAAATCCAAACTGGGGTGTATTGCGGAGGTTTTGGTGTGGAAAAACAGAACAGAAAAGGGCATTTTAATAGAGGGTTTCTCAGGAACCCACTTTAAACTGTGCTTATGTCACCAGAAGGAAGCTTCATGCCCTGGCTGTGTTATGGATGGATTTCAGCTCCCTCTCAGTGTCCAGTCCATATTAACAATTGATAAAACTGGAATGCAGTAAATTGAATTTCTTTGTGTCCTCCAGTAGGAAAGAAAGTGAAATTTAAAGAATGTGATGTGGAAAAAGTGCATTATCCAACTGAATGCTGACTTTTAAAATCTATTAGACTTTTTTCCCTCCAGAAGGCACCTTATGAAATATCCAGCTATCATGGTTTAAATATTGCGATATTGAAGATCCTTCTTCTTTTCTCCTTAAGCAGCTCTTGCCCTCTGTCTGCTTTATGTATATAATAGACTTGTTGATGAGTTTTGTTAGCTGGTTTTACAGTGCTTTGCAAAAGCATTCATCCTCCTTCAGACATTTTTCATTTTATCATGTTACAACCTCATTGGGATTTTCTGTCACAGACCTGCTCAAAGTTGTGCATAATTATGAATTGAAAGAAAAATCAGACATATTTTTAAACCACACTTGCATTCTGAGTTACCAGAGAAGCAAGAGGAAAGCCATCGAAAGCGGATAATTTTCTATGTGCAGCTCAGTATTTCAGGGATTT